GTACAGTAATCTTTTTATTGCCAGGTAAAAGGTTAGGCTTAACCTTCTCTAAATAGTCATATGCAATCTCACTACTACTACTGACGCTGTGCACACTACACATTGCATTTATACGATTTTCTGCACTTCTTGGTATACTGTATAACGATTTTCTTGTATTCAATGTCCAAGAGATGAACTCAATGTCCAAGAGACAAAACTCAATATAAATAGAGCTGCTATGTGTCCAGGGTGTATGCAATACATTATGTCCAAGTAGTGCAGTACGTTGAATACAAAGAAATAAATAAAAACTGTATGTCCATGTAGCCATTACAGTGATTTGCTGAAGGAGCTGCCGGTTGGCTATTTAGCAGTCTTATTGACTGGAATTAGACACTGTTGCGTAATCTGTTGGACTTTGACTGAATGCTTTGCTACTAGGATGATTGGGTCCTTGAGAATGGACCTGGCCTTCTGAAGACATCTCGCTGAGTAGATATCCTGGCTGTTTTGGTAGCTCACAGCCGGTTATGAGCTGCACTGACTTCACCACCCTCTGCAGTACTTTGTGATCCCAGGCGGAGCAGTTCCCATACCAGGCAGTGATGCAGCCTGCCAGTCAGGATACTCTCAATAGTGCACCTGTAGAAGCTGGCCTAGATATGTGATGGCATGCCGAACTTCCTTAGCCTGCGGAGAAAGAATAGGCGCTGCTGTGCTGTTTTGACCACGATGCTGGTGTGGTGGGTCCAGGTTAAGTCCTCAGTGATGTTAACTCCCAGAAACTTAAAACTGCTGACCCTCTGCACTGCAGTTCCATTGATATAAATAGGTATGTGATCTCCCTGGTGGTTACTATAATCCACAATCATCTTCTTAGTCTCTCTGATGTTCAGAGAGAGGTTGTTCTCCTGGCACCATGCTGCCAGGGTTTCAACCTCCTCTCTTGTACGCAGACTCTTCACCATCTGTGATCAGGCTGATGACTGTTGTATCATCCACAAACTGAGTAATGGAGTTTGAGTTATGCCTGGCATCACAATCATGAGTAAATAAGGAGTAGAGGAGAGGGCTAAGCACACAGCCATGGGGAGGTTCCAGTTTTTGGAGTCTGGCTAGAGCATACAGAAGTGCTAGAATGTTTGTGAACCCTTTAGAATTTTCTGAATTTCTGCATACATTTGTAAATTTATGTAAAGCATAAAAAACAGGTTCACACACTTTTTCCAACAGACATTTAATGTTGGATCATTTTGATCATTAAATGAATGAAAAAGTATATCCTTTTGTGTTATTTGTTTCATTGGGTTCTCTTTATATATTTTTTATAACTTGGATGAAGATCTGATCACATTTTAGGTCAGATTTATGCAGAAATTCAGAAATGTATGTTGGTGCCCACCCTCACCATCTGCGGACATCAAAAAGTCCAGGATCCAATTACAAAGGGAGGTGTTCAGTCCCAGGTCCTGGAGCTTGATGACAAGCTTTGAGGGCACTATGGTATTGAATGCTGAGTTGTAATTGGCAAACTGTATTCTCACATGTTCCTTTCTTAACCAGGTGTGAGAGGGCAGTATGGAGGGCAGTGGCTATAGCATCCTCTGTTGACCTGTTCTGGCGATACGCAAATCCTAGTGGGTCTAGGATATCAGGCAGTGAGAGGTGATGAATGCTTTGACCAACCGCTCAAGGCACTTCATGATTTCACGAGGAATGACAGCACCCGATTGGGAGAAATTAGAATCGTTTATTGGGATGTGAAGACTTGGCATAACCCGCTTGGCTGAAGGCCAACCTCCCGGCCATTGGACGGGGAGGATAGGACCCCCAAAAGAACCAAGTGGGACCCCCAGTCACCAGTGCAGAAAAGCAATGATTATTGAACTAACTCTGCCGAGGAGAGAAAGTGCCTGCTTGAGGATACCAGGGTTAGTTTCAATGTATGCGTGATAAGCCTCGGAGGACCAGCGGCCGAGTTGCTTGATGAGATACTTGGGTATGCCTTGGCGAGCGGCAGAGGACGTGGCCCCTGATCTGAAGGAGTGGCCGGAGAATTGTTCAGGGGGGTATCCGGCGGTTAGAAGGATGTCGTGGAGGTGAGAGAGACACCAGTCATGATACGGCCCATCTCGTTTACGAACAGAGGGTCAGTAGGCAAAGCTCCGGCAGAGGTGCGAAGATGCGTGTAATGAGATAGAGGCTTGTATGGGCTTACGTATGAACAGAGTTTGAAATAATAAATGAGAGTGCCGGACCTGAGTTGCTTTTCTTGAGATAGAAGGTCAATGTATTGTAAGATAAGATTGAGATGTCAGATAAGCAGGGTTTAGAAGAAGGATCGAAGGATGTGGAAGCAGCGGTAATTTCGGAGCATCTTAGGATGCCGAAAAAGGCTAACAAGAATAAAGATTCAAAAGTGCGGTCGACCCAGGGTGAGTGGTAACCCGACCTGAGAACGTAGACGCAAGATTCAAGAATATCTGAGGTAAGTGGTGCGCGTTGGTCCGGAAGTGGATTTTCAAGCCACTGAAAGCCTTTAAGAAGGAGAGTAATTTGAGGGTGGATAAGGGATGGACAAGTCGTGCCAAAAAGGAGTTTTGGAAGAAGCGGATGCCGCCCAGGTATACTTTGGTGGTGGATGCTCATACCTTGAGTGAGTTTCTACAATGGCAGACGAAGGATATGGTGAGAATAATTGAAAGAAGGGAATTTTATGTTCGCAGAGAGGTGGAAGGATTGGAAGCCCTTCCAGGCAGTCCAGTAAGAATTGAGAGTTCGAGGGTCAATCCCTGAGAGGATAGTTTGCTGGGCCAGCTGAAGATAGTGATGAAAAGGATGATTCAGAGGAACGTGAGTTCTGAATAGGGAGGTACTGTGCACGGGTTCGGTCTTGCATCTGGTGCCAAGTTCCTGAATTTCTGAAACTGAAAGCGAGAGAGAGTGTCAGCAATCTCATTAAGGTGGCCTGGAATATGAGCTGCTACGAGGATGAATTGATGTGTGAGAGAAATCCATTTAAGGCGGCGGAGAAATTTCATGATAGATTGGGATGAAGAACTTCCTTTGTTGATTATATGAACTACTGCGCAGTTGTCTGACTGGATGAGGATGGATTTTTGTTTCCAATTGTGGCCCCAAAGAAAAGCGGCAATGACAATTGGAAATATTTCGAACAAGGCCGGTGACTGGTCGGCGAGAGGGATTGAAGAGAATTCGGGAGGCCAAGGAGCTGCAAACCATTGGCCTTGGTAATAGCCTCCAAAACCAACTGAGGGGACTGCGTCTGTGAAAAGCTGGTTATCCTCGGGATCAGAGAGGAGGTCATCGTAGAAGAGAGATATGCCATTCCAGTTGGCCAAGAACAGCTGCCAAAGCCTGAGCTTGGATTTGCAGTCATCTGAAAGGCTAAGTGGTGGTAAAAAGAGGACACAGAAGAGGAGAGGTTGAGAAGGTAGGAGATGAATGATACGCATGGCATAATTGAGATGTCCGAGCAGAGTGAGAAGTTCCCTCTTTGCACAAAATTTAGCGGAAAAATAGGTAGAGATATACATCTGTCAATTTTGTCGCGAGGCAGGGAGGTGGAAAAATTGATGGAATTGAGGGTGATACCGAGGAATTGGATGGTATGAGAGGGGCCGGTTTTTTTGTCCATGGCGAGAGGTACCCCTAGTTTCCTAAAAACGGAAATAAGTGTGGAGGAGGCTCTTGCAGGTGGGGAAAGCGTCGTAAGGAAATCGTTGAGAAGGTGGATGAGAAAAGGAAGCTTATAGTTATTCAAGAGAATCCAGCAAAGAGCTTCGGCTAAGGTATTGAAAATTTTTGGGCTACTCCTACATCTGAAAGTAAGGCGGACTCCAAAGAAGAACTTGTTCCGCCAATAAACTCCGAAGAGGCGCCAGAAGTCTGGGTCGAGAGGCATGACTTTAAAAGCGCTAGAGATGTTGGCCTTAGCGAGCCAGGCACCCGAACCTGCGATTTTGATGAGAGAAATGGTGTGGTAAATTGAGGCGTAGTGAAGGGAGAAGTCTGAGCTGGGAATAAGGCTATTGAGACTTGGTACGTGGGAGTTATGAGGAGCTGTCAAGTCGATTATAAGGCGTTTTTTACCGTAATACTTACGGACCGTAATACTGATGGGATTGATTCGGTATGCGGGGAATGGGGGAGAGTCAAGTGGGCCGATCATGAAACCGTTCTCGACTTCGGATGCTAACAAGGAATCAACGGACTGGGGATCGGCGGTGGCAGATTGCACATTTTTGCAAAAGATGGGGGAAGTGTGCACAGACATGTTGAGAATCCGAGTAAGATGTGAGTGGAAGAGGGATAGGTGACAGAGCAGTTCGGAAGCAAGAGCGGGGATATCGATTTGGTAGACAGATAAGCCAGTAGACATTTGGGAACACTGAAGGTGGAGCGAGCGTGGAATGGCCGGCGGGGGCAGGCAGAGCGAACATGAGCTTTGCCGCAGAAGCTGCAAATGTGAAGGAAACGACAGAGGGAAGAGGTACATGTCGAGGAATTAAAGTTGTTGCAGATGGCCTCCGATCATTACGATGAGGCGACCGCGAAGGTCTTTGGACCGAGAAGGTTTGAAGAAGACCTTGCGGGAAAATTGATGCTGTGGGGGAGAAGGGGTGGAGTTGGGGTTAAGCTTGCAGACGATATGTAATGGAAAGTTACTGAGAAAAGGTGTTTTATCCTAAAAATGTTGTTTACAGACAGAGCTGTGCTGCAGAAGCAGCTGGATACTTAGAACAAAGTGTGATAGCACCCAACTCACCAAGGGCATGGGATGTTTTAATAATGTTTATCTCTGCTGCTTGAAGAAGGGAGTATGATAAACTATTTAAATAACTGCTCTTCTTTGCTTAAAGAAAAAACCTATAAGGAATGGAAAATTACTGCTTTGCCTGTCCTTGAAGTGTTGCATCAGCTTAAAAAAGATTTAAAACAAGGGCTCTCCCTGCTTGCTTTTGTATCAGCTTTCACTTCTCTACACAGACGGGTGATGGCTATTTTCCAAATTGCAATTTGAATAAAGACCTTACTGAGTGAATGAGAATACCTCTCCTGGCTCTTCTTCAATAAAATTCCATGATGGGTATCTGGGCAAAGATTTGAACAGAGGAACAGAAGTCCCAGGAAAGAGCTCTGATGCCAGCGAAAGTGTCGAGGGCTCCCCAGTAGGTGCGCTGATTCCATTGGAGTAGGTGGGCGGCGGCCTTGGCCGAGAACTGCTTATGATAATCGTAGAACAGGGAGCTAAATCGAGGATGATGAGCATGTAATCGTCGAGCTCCTGACGACGGTCGGGAAAGGTGGAGCACATGATGTCGCGAAAAATACTGAAAGCCAGACAGAAGTCGGAAATTCTAAGGACTGAAGCAGAGTGAGGGTTGGAAGATTTGAGAGTAACAGAAATCGTCCCGCAGTCGACTGTTCTAGAATCGGAGTTGTAAGTGGAGGAAGAGAGAAGGTGAGTTAGATTGACGTCCGCACCTCGTGGAACTTGCTGCTGGAGTGAAAGGGGAGGAGGACTAAACTTTAGTGCGTTAGGAGGAGCTGGGAAAGGAACGGCTGTTCGGAGAGAAAAGTCCTTAGTAAATGGGAGATTGGAATCCAGGGCCGAAGGCATGGGATGACTGATGCCGTGTTGGACACCGGGGATGGGAGAAGATGAGGAGGGAAGAAGAGCAGAAAACAGATTGTGAAAGGAGGGGTTAGACAGATCTGGGGCCTGAAGCTCAGTGGCTTGTGATATGGAATCCGAAGACTGTTGAGGAGGAATTGAAGCAGGGGCGAAGGCTGCGTGAAGGACGGAGGCAGCTGCCGAGTTGTCTTGGACGCCAGGGGGTGGGGGAAGGTAAGGGCCCCCTGCTGGCTGAGCTGAGGGAGACTTTGGCAGGGGCCGAAGGCACCAAGCCGGTGGACCCTGAGCCATGTTGGATGCTGGAGGTAGAGACAGAGGAGAGTGCAGAAATTAGATTAAACAGAGAAGAAGAGGGTTGGGGAGGGGCGTGAGCCTGGGGCCTTAGACTCGGCAACAAGGAGTTTAGGGAAGGAGGCTGAGAGGAAGAGGCTAGGTGCAGTTGTTCAGCAGAGGTATGGATTGGTTGGGGAAGAGATGCAGACACAGATATATCGAGACAAGATGGAAGATGCGACAGGCAGAGGCGCGGGCGGCCTCGGGTTCCTCACATTCGGATGAGTGGCAGCGGCGCGGGTGATGTAATCAGAGAGTGCCGGGGGGAGCTGTGGAGCCGAGGTTTCCGTTTTGTGTAGACTGCAGTTAGGTACAGGGAAAAGAGAGCTTTTTTGGAGGCGTTTCTTTTAAAACGGATGCCATATTTTCAAAGTATCCTCTGGAGGCTTGCTATGGTCCAGTTGGAAATCATGAGAGATGATCCGGGAGAAGGGGGAGCCGATGTGCGGGGGTTATTTGGAGACTTTGCCGTAGAGGAACGGGAAGGCTGGGTTTGTGATGAGAGAGGGGCTACGACAGCGGAACGCAGTCTTCGGCGAGGAGTTGGATCTTGTGAGGACTGGCTGGGAGATGAGCGGCGCTGATGTGGCACGGCGGATGATGGGAGCGGAGACGGAGGTAAGGGGAGCGGGGGGGGAGGACTGGACGAGAGGGGTAGGGGAGTCCCCTGCACGGCAGAAAAGGTCTTCATTGGAGGAGCAGATTTGTACTTCTCACTTGCACAAGAATGGAGCATGGATTTGAGCTATGCGAAAACAAACCATGCAGAAAATGAGCGAGGAAGAAGAGAGGGTAACGTTTGATATATATATGGAGACCGGTTGCTTACGTCAGAATAAGTGGGAATTGCAGCAGCTTTGTCGAATGAGCTCGGCTGCTTTCATTCCTCCCGAACTTTCATTAAATACTCTATAACTGATGTGAGTGCAACAGGGCGGTAGTCATTCAGGCACCTGACTCTGTTTCTTAGGAACGGGGAAAATGGTGGTTTTCTTAAAGCAGGAAGGAACTATGTACTGAGCTAGGGAGAGATTGAATATGTCAGAGAAGACATCTGCCAGCTGGTCTGCACATGCCTTCAGAACGCGGCCAGGGATGGCATCAGGGCAAGGAGCTTTGTGTGGATTGGTCATTTTAAAAACTTTACACACATCCGCTCTGGATATGATCAGTGGGTTTTCACCCTGGATTTCTGGAATCTTCCTGACTGGATCTGCGTTACTGACTTCAAACTGAGCATAGAACGAAATTAGCTCATCGGGAAGAGAGGCAGACTGCTGAGTGTTATAGCTGGGTTGTGTTTTGTAGTCTGTAATGGTGCGTATACCACTCCACATGGGCCATGTGTTGCAGCCATGATAATATGACTCTAATTTTACTCTGTAGTTGTATTTAGCTATTTTGATAGCTTTCCTGCGGTCATAACGTGATTTTTTTGTATTTATCCATATCGCCAGAATTGAAAGCGGTTGTCCTGGCTTGAAGTTTGGCACATATCTCGCCATTTACCCATGGTTTCTGATTTCTTGATGTCCTGTTGGACAGCAAGCCTTGCTCTCAGTTCATCCAGTTTATTTTCAAGTGACTGAACATTGGCAAGAAGTATACTAGGGAGCGGGGCATGATTGTTGTGCTGCCTCAATCTTACCAGAACGCCTGCTGGTTTACCCCTCTTCCTACGATGCCGTCTTCTTCCCAGTACAGGTACGGGTGAGACACCTCAGTCCAGATAGTCGGCAGTAATTACTGGTGTAGATTTAACTGTGCCAATATTCGATCTTATGTCCATTCATGTTTGTTGGTCATATCTAATCACCGAGCATAAGGTATGTGCCGTTAGCAGTACGAAAAACAAAAATAAAGAAATAAACAAGGACAAAGGATGCTCGCAGGATACTTGCAGGACTCCAGCCTTCAGTGTCGGCATTATCTTACTTGCCACTTTACATCTTACTTGTCAGATGCACTAATTTATGTGGTAATAAGCCATATCCATTGGTCCAGCCATAGTACCGTTAGGTCTCCATTCCTTTGTTTTGCCTCCTTTCTACACTAATACAGTATATCCATGTACTTGTTTAGCAGCATGTAGTCAGTAAGTCGTCTTGCCACAATTGCCAGAAAGCTCTTTCCTTCCACATTCAACAAAGATATAGTTCTAAACTATCCTATGCCCTGGGCATTCTCCTGTTTTGGTATGAAACATCCCTCCACTACATGCCAATCTGCCTCTTCTCCATACAACCCTTAAAAGCCTCCATAGCACTCTTGTTACTTTTAGACAGTATTTGCACACTTGGCCCAGGTGCTGAGGATGATCTTGCTTTCCTGATGATGCTGGTCATTTCCTTCAGTCTAGGCTCCTGCATCCATTGGATCATCAGATTTCAATCTGTCAACAGCTGTGAGAGCTGTGTCAGTCCCCCAGGCAGTGGTGACTCCATTGGTATCTGTGGGGCATGTGAAGTGAAAAAAAGCAGATAACTCTGACAAGCACAGGTTCCTGCAAGGTTGCTGGGTTTCACCTTTCCTGTGCTGGTTTTAGGAGCTGCTGTAAACGCAGGCCTGTTAAACTATGGAGAATCTAAATTGGAGAGGGGGATTTAAAAGAACATAATTGGCCATTTTAATTTTTGGGGGGGAAGAATTACAGAATGTGCAAGAATTGGGTGGAGTGGTAGCTCTGTGGCTAAGGATCTGCGCTTGTGGTTGGAAGGTTGTTGGTTCAAATCCCACAGGCGGCAGAGGAATCTTATGCTGTTGGGCCCCTGAGCAAGGCTGTTAACCCCAACTTCTCCAGGGGCCTTGTATAAATGACTGACCCTGTGCTCTGACCCCAGGCTCTCTCCCCATCTGTGTGTCTCATGGAGAGCAGGCTGGGGTATGTGAAAAGACAAACTCCTCATGCAAGAAATTGTAAAGGGTTAATAAAGTGATGTTTTATTATTATTAACAACTTCTTAAGTGGTGCAGTGGTTAGTATTACAGCATCTCTGAGTTCACTTCTTAGGGTGCTATGTATATAGAGTTGTATCTTCTAATGAACGGGGGGGGGGTTCTTCCCATAGTCCAAAGACATACTGGTGGATTAGTTGCCTTCTGGGGAAAATTGTTTGTCTGTGTGATGGACTGGTGTTCCATCGAAGGTGTATCGTGCCTTGTGAATTTTGCTTGCCGGGATAGGCTCCCCTGCTATTCAGAATTGGATGAAGCAGTTATAAAATGTGTGGATAGATGATGGATTTACATTTAAAAAAAAGTTAATGGGCATATCTGAACAAATCTTGCGACATCTGAATGACTGGTACTGCAGAGTTTTCCCAAAGAGGATGCAGAACTTGTGTGATACCAGTGCGATCCTCTGTTTATTTTTAACAAAAACAGATGCATGGGATATTAAGAATGAATATGACTTCTGTCAGATAAAGCCAATACAGGTCAAACAGGTATATATATATTTTCTTGTTAGATGGGAACACATTTTCCTGCTGGGAAATTATTTTCCTTAGTTCTAATTATGTGCATTGCTGTGCAAAAGCCTTGGATATTTTAGACAAATTCAGGAATTACTATATGTTATGCGCATCAAGAATTGGTTCAAAGCCACCATTAATGTTTTTAACTATAGTACTTCATTTTGACTATTTTTCCTAGAGTTTAGTTTGTGTGAGTTTTTGATCAGAATAAGGGATCAGAATCTTCAACATTATGATCTCAGGAACTCAAAGTAATGATGACCCAATTAGAAACATTATAGTAGCCAATCAATCATATTTACTAATCAAATCTGACTCTTTGCCAGGTGTTCCTTGTATAAGTGATTGTTGACCTTGTCCCATTTCTTCCCCTGAATATGTTGGTAATGTAAAAAATATGCTTTTTTCAGTACAGGATAAGGAACTGTCTAGATCGTTTTAAATAAAAAGGCTAAAACTGCTGTAGAAGCCACCATAGACTTGTTTTACTATAAAGGAGGAAAGTGTCAAAAACTTGCACTGTTGCTGTGTTTCATGTTGATGTGCTAATTAATTAATTGCTGTGTTTTGTTTTAGGTCTAGCTGGGAGATCCCTGATTTAAGGGATGGTAAAATTCAAGCAATAAGTGACTCTGATGGGGTGAACTACCCCTGGTATGGCAATACGACAGAGACCTGCACCATCGTCGGCCCCACCAAGAAGAACACAGAGATCAAGGTCAGCATGGATGACAATTTCGACACCAGTGTGTCCTGGAACGTGCCCAAGAGAAACAGCAACCTGCACCAGCTGACCAGCATCCACAGGGACCAGAGCTTCATCACCTGGCTGGTGGCCATCAACCAATCCACCAGAGAGCACCTCATCCTGAAGACCATCATGTGGAGGATGCAGCTCCACATCAAGATCGACCCCAGGAAACCCCTGGGCCAGCGTGCCAAGCTGCTGAAGCCCACTACCCAGGAGCAGCCCCAGATCCTGGCCAAGAAAGAGCCCATCCCACCCAACGCCATGGTGAAGCCCAATGCCAACGATACGCAGGTCCTGATGTGGAGGCCAAAAAAAGGAAAGCCTGTGGTTGTTACACCTCCAAAATTCTAGGGTACTATATTGAAGAAACTAACCCCCCCCCCAATCTTTTTTTTTACATCAGAAACATGAATTAAAAAATCTAACAAGATGCCCCAAGTGGCAAAGCTATGAACGTCTCCTGGACTTAACAACTGCAACCATTCTACCTTTAGCACAGTCATACCCGGCCCAGTTTAAATTAAATCATTGCAAAAATGGCTAGTATTATTTTTTGCTAGGCATTTTTTTTAACATTATATGAGAATATATACAGTAGGTGTGTGTGTATATACAAATTTGCACATCTTGTTTCCTGGGATAGGAAGGGTGGGAG